TAGTGTAATAATTGTAGGAGGTCCTTCAACCTTGTCAAGGAGCATAATTCCTATGTCTTGGCAAAGATGTATATACATCTATAGAAGTATTTGGTCTTGAGGATAACTCTGTAAGCGACTGTCGCACTGTGCTCTCTAAAATCCAAACATGGAGAATGGATAGAATCAGTTTGTACTTTCAATGAAAAACACGAACCATCTTTTATAAAACTTTAAAATGTGACAGACATTAATTCTATGCACAACTGCAGGTTTTATAAATTCTTGATTGTTTCCCTTGACCACTTGAGCAAATTATGATCATTTTTTCCCCTCCTGCATCTACAAATTTCAAAAATCCTTTCCCACAAAACAAGTAAATAATTTGGTCTGTCCTAAGATCAAAATTTCCAAACCAAGAAAGAACTGAAGCTGAATCATCTTCGACACATCCTTCGACACATCCTTCGTTTAGATTGGGAGGTCAAAGGTCAGTCAGAGTTCACCTGACACCCCCTGTGGAAGGTTTGTCAGACCTTCTTGCAGGGAGGTATGGAGTAACAGATCCCATTTTACTGAGATTGATCAGGACCACAGCTTGTGGCTGTAAGCAGCATGTTAGACCTCTATATCCCCCATCACTGACGGTTTTCCTCATGTATGCAGTTCTGGATAAGCTTTCGGTTATTTGAGAATTTTACCCATGGTTTTGATTTTTATTGGGTATCCATAATTTTTAGTGGTACATGTATTCAATATTGTTTTACCTTCCCTTTCTTTACATTTGTACAGAAGCCTTTTAGGGCCATTTGTTTTTTATTTATTTCTTGAAATTTCAAGATACTAAGTTGAAATTTCACGATATTAAGTTGAAATTTCAACTCAGTATCTTGAAATTTCAAGATACATAAGTTGAAAATTCAAGATGTTATGTTGAAATTTCAAAATGATTATCTTGAAATTTCAACTTTGTATGTATCTTGAAATTTCAACTTAGTATGTTGAAATTTCAACTTAGTATGTTGAAATTTCAACATAACATCTTGGGTATTTTTACCCGAAAGCCTGTTTCGTAATAATCCCTCTAAATCATTTAAAGCCAAATGAATAGAAGTATGTACACTTTCAAATGAAACTGTCAATAAATGAATTTCGCAATCAGCTGATACGCAATCATTTATCTAACAGTTGCAACACACACATAGTTATATTTCAATGGTGTCAACTCCTTCAATCAAATGGAATCAAGTCACCAAATGCTGTCCCTACTTATCAAAACTTTGAAAACTGAAGGAAGGCAAAGTAGGCGAGCATTCACATTAAAATCAGATCTATTACTCTAACACAATAGCTCTCTGCGTAAAGATCTGAAAACACTTCCATAGAAGGTCGCATCAGGTGGACCCCGAGCGATCTTTGACTGCCCAATAGAAATGAATAAAGCGTGGGGTTTTGAGCCAATCAGATATCAGCTTTCTAAATCTATTTGGCTTTATTTCTATACTACCCTAAAATGGAAATTTCGATTTTAACAAAAGAAAACTCACAGGACAAAAATATTCCTTCGATGGAATTTCAGGTATTGAAAGATTTAACATTTATTTGATCTAACTATAAGCACAAACAATATAATTATAACAAAATAACTGAACATTGCTGAATTACACAAATGTATGTGTATATATTTATCGATGAACCTAAAAGTGTTCAAAGTATGTGCATGGCCCTCCTAACTGTGATTCCTGGGAACAAGGAGGAGGTAGGGTAGCCTGGTGGTTAAAGCGTTCACTCATCACACCGCAAACCGTAGTTTGATTCCCACATGGGTACAATGTGTGAAGCTCATTTCTGGTGTCCATGTTATGACTGGACTTATGCTATCAACGGCATAAAACTATACTCACTCACTCCGGGAACATTTTGTCATGCTTTTTAAGGGTGCCATGCATGTAAATTGGGGTCCCAGGCTTGGAAATAGGGGGTCCCAGGCTTGGAAATAGGGGGTCCCAACTGCTGTATAAACAACAAAAAATAAATTATACTAACCAGAAACCATAAAACAAATGTCTGCCCTGACCATGGGTGGGATTTTCCTGGTCTGAAACAAAGCCTAAGGCCACACATTTTATATTTTTCGTTTCACGAACCCGCTGCCCCTACTGAAAAGCAGGTGATAAGGAATAAATGAAACATAAAAGTATTTATTTCTATTACCATATTCGACGAAATAAGTGCCCCGCTCTAATAAGCTAAGATATTGGCTAGTCAACAATACCAAATAGCACCCCTTCCGATTGATCAATGTACAACAAGACTTATTTATTCGCTCATAATACGCACTCATGTGTTATATGCACCCTTAATTATGGGCAATTAAATTCTGGAAAAATATATCTGTCCTACATAAACATTTCAGGCTTTCAGCATAAACCATGATATTTATCTTTCAACTCTGTTTTTTTCACCAAAATAATATTCTAATAAGAGCCCCCTATTTCTAATTTTGAGAGCACCCTGGGTGCTTATTACGTCGAATACAGTATGTCTCCCGCTAGTTACGTAGGTCCTCTTATACATTAAAAAAATTATATATCAATTCCATGTCTACATCACTATCAGTGATTCAAGAAGCCAGCGGCAGTTTTTTAACTCCACGTCAGAATGACTTTCATTTAAATAAATAAATGATGGACATCAATGAGCTATTTATTTTTATTTATTTTTCGATCAGGTAATGAAGTAATTAAAATATGACATCAACATTTAAAAATATGTGCAGGCTACGATGGCAAAAATTGATTTGGTCGTAACGATTCAAACAGACACACCCCATGATTCACTGTTCAAATAATTGACATCAGGCTCTAGTTTGCATCTGGTAAACCACTGGGTTTGCAAAAAGATAACAAATACATAATTTTGACAGAAACAACTTTTATATTGAAAGAATCACCAGTGAGAAAACCTGTGGAAAATCTAGACTTGATTCATTTAGGGCTATTAGTGTAAGGGCTGGGAAGGGAAAATAATATGATGCAGGGACTGTGAGACAGACTAGCAAAAGCAATGTAAACCATGACATGAAACAAGTTTGCCCAAGACAAGGTCACAATATTCTTAACAGACAAGGTCACACTCTGTTGTCCCAAGGTCAGTGTCAAGTCAATCTGTACACCTAGATACTACCATAGTAACCCAACTAGCTCACCCTCCACTGAATCTCTTAGCACATCTCAAAGAAGCTGTCACAAAACTCGTTAAACACTTGAACTGTTTTTTATTTCATTTTTTACATACCTCCCTCTTCTGATAAGGTCATCTGACAGATACTCAGGAGAGTCTTTGGCCTAAGGCTACATGTGAACTCTGACCTCCAGTAGTGCACCAATAAAACACCAAGCAGGTTCCCATAGAGACGATCAGATGAGTTGTCTAATGTTTACTGCACATGTATTTAATTATTCATGATGCTGCCAATTAAGTCCAAGAGAAGTCTGCAGGGCAAGGAGCTGGGCATGAGGCGCCAATACCATGCCTTGTGGTCTCCATACTTTGTTTACCATTATACAGACATAGAATTAAGTAAAACAATTATCTGGCCAGCAGGGTCAACTGATGTTTGTTTGTTTGTTTCTTTGTTGTGTAATGCCACACTCAACAATATTCAGACAATAAGAAGGTGGTCTGTAAATAATAGTGAGGACTAGGCTATCCAGTGATTGACATTCAGTCACTCTACCCAAGAGGGCATATTCCATCATGTCACTTGAACAAGTTACACATTCTAATTTACAGTGTTTGTTTGTGGACACCCATCTGATACTGGTAAGAAGGGTCTCAGGCTCCAAAGAAAAATACACCATATTCATTCATATTCCAACCCAATGACAGTGTCATGTTACTATTTGATTCTTGACCAGACGAACATGTCATATTAAGAGCAATGATCATTATTTCTTAATGAAAAGGTTTTAAGATGTCTCCAAACCAGACCACCTCATCTAGTTAGTCACCTCACACAACAAGCATAGGTTGCTGAGACCTTCTCCAACCCAGAATCTCAATATAGGAATTATTATGTCTACATCTTGAAAATATTGGTTAAATCTTTGATAAACTCACACCTTATATTCCTGGAAAACAGAATTCAGTATTTTCAAAAATATCTAGCAAAATCTGCCTAAAAAGATTCTAAACATCTATAACCAAAATGTTTCACATATACCAGCATCACACTTACAACACTCACTGCATCAAACAAATCAATGTCCATCCTGGCTGTCAAACGGCATTGCTTGTGTTCAGAACATTTTTGAATAGGAAAGTCAATATTTCAACTGCATTTTTTCCCTCTGATAAATATTTATCTGTAATACATACCTGTTAATTAAAGTAGTTTTGTCATATTAAACACTGTAGGTTGAAGGAAAAGTCACTCACTCATCCCAGCTGTATGAGGATGGACTGTAAATCATCAAATTTGGACCAGACGAACCGGTGATTGACATAATGAACAGTCAATGCCATCAGGTAGGATGACATGCAATCAATCAACTCGCCCAGCCAAACCACATCATGCATTTAGTCACCTCGTACGATAAGCATGGGTTAGTGGGGGCTAGTTCTAACTCTATTGACTTCAGGAACAGAATCATCCAACATCAAAATGTATAAGAAGCAATGGCAGTTGGCTCTTTGAAATGTTTGTTGTTGAATGTCACACTCAGCAATATTCCAGCTATATGACGGAGGTCTGTAAATAATCGAGTCTGGACTAGACAATCCTGTGATTGACAACGTGAGAATCTATCCACGCAATTGGCATCCGATGACAACTGAAATGCATCAACCAAGTCAGCGAGCCTGACCACCCGATCCCGTTAGTCGCCTCTTACAGCAAGCATGGATTGCTGAAGACATATTGCAACCCGGATCCACTTTGAACTGAAACATTATGGTGAAATATTACCATAAACATGAAATATTGCATAAAAATGACATCAAAGAACATTGGATTTTACCTCAGTGAATCTATGGTGTACGGCGAGTGTATCCCAATGTCATTCCTCCACAAGCTCTTCAGATGGGAATTGTTGAAACAGTTCACAAACTCTCAAAGATGGCGATGCCAGTTCCTCATCCGTTGGTTTGTCCTCCCGGAACATGGTATATATATTCCCATACACTTACTGACGTCGCAGCTCAAATCAGAACACTTGATAAACTCCAATCAAATGATATTGTCCAGAACTCTTCACACCACTTTTACATCCAACTTCAAGAATAGGGCAATTATAACTTAACAACTGCCAACAAAGTCTGTTTGGAGCTTACAGCAAATCTGCACCACCAAAAGCCTTTACATAAATAAATATCGATACCCGTAGATGGATGAATATTTAACCAAGGCAATCTGCTGTGCTATACGCACACATGTTCCCGATCAATCTAACGGACCCGACTTCGATGATTAAATCACGTGACCGTGTAACAGGTGCCCGTGCAAACATTAAAGTCTGACGGAGTTATGTCCCCTTATTTAGTAGACACTCATCTGCAGATGTTGCCATCCATTATAGTAATGGGACATAAAAATGAAATGTGGGACCATTTTTGCAAAATCGGTTTACAGATCCGCCGAACCTCTGAAATGGAATACTGGAGAAAAAATATTAATGAAATTATTTTTAATCAAATAAATGCAGCAAAGAGGGTTTGGGTGATCCTGGCATGTTGTTGTTGTTGTTGTTGTTGTTGTTGTTGTTGTTGTATTATTACAAAACACTTGCGTAAAACATTCCGTCCTTAAATCATATACTATGTTTTTCGATTAGGGTTATAGCACAGTATCACGATTTGGAAATAAACATATTTGGAATATACAGTATATTTTATTTACAGCAAGTATATATTTTCTTTCAGAGTGCGAGCTACGGGTGGCATATTCGCCTGACTTTAACATGACAGCGATAACTGTTGTGTTCTCAGTAGAGTGTTGTCTACTTAGTAGGTTCTGATTGATAAGACAAAGTCGGATTCTAATTTTCAGGTAAAATTAAATTTAGAAATATACTTTTAATTTATCACAAATAAAAAAGAAAATCAAGCCTCGGTCTACTGCCCCGTTCACTGTGGTAAAACACGTAGTGTGATGTTTTGCGACTGAAATGATCAATGGTAGGTCTGGAAGAGTTAAGTCCCATGGTGAAAGAGTCACATGATTCGCGTTTGCTCGTGCAGCCGAGTTATTTTAAGTTCGCTTCATGTACAGTTGCAATAGGTTTTCAATTCTCATTTAAATACGATCTTAGTTCTCGCTACCGCTAAACAAAGATCCGAGGACATCCCATTACGGGTCACGTCAGACCGACCTTGCGCGAACTTTGACCGACCAATGGATTGACTGACAAGAAGTCGACATTAGCCAATCAGAAGGCAGCTCTCTCATGCTTTACGGCACTAGTTTCAAACTGGCGACTACACTTCGAAATATATTTTGACAAATTCTCGATTGAAAACTGAACAAAGGAACATTTTCGGAATGGCTGATAGATGGACAAGATTGTATGGATTAAGTCCTAAATTCCGTAACTGTCGTTTGGAATATCCCTTCGAGGTTGCATGATTAGAAAACACTTTCCTGATCTGGTAAGCGACGCTCTGATTGGTCGGATGAAAGGTCGTTCTGACGTGACCTGTAATGGGATGTCCTCAGATCTTTGTTTGGCGGTATACCTAAGATTTGTTTTTAATGAGATTGAATAGGATTTTGCATTTGTTTGTTGTTTATCGCCGCACAATAACTGACTATAATCCATGTGTAGTCCAGGTTAGAATCCATGTCCCCGGCAACCCATGAATGTCTAGAGCTAGAGGCAACTAAATGGATCAGATGGTCAGATTCGGTGACTTGGTTGACGCCATCGTATCCCATATTGCTGAGTGCGGCGTTAACAACAATCAACCAAACATAGCCCCAAACCAATCTGATTAAGAATATACTATACTGTTTAATTGGACGAAGGATGAACCCATACTGGATTACTGAAATGCCATTGTAAAAAAACTGTCCTAGGTGACTTTCTTTTCGCTCCAAATTCCAACAAGCTAGCCCGATCTGTCTTTACAGTGGCGTGTTACGGACACGTTTAACGTCACACTGGATAATCCAGTGTATTATATCTCCATTCTGGTATGATGAATAACATAGATATCAGTTTGTTGTTTAACGCCGCACTCAGCAATATTCCAGCTGTATGTAAATTAATCGTGTCTGAACTAGACAATCTAGTGACTGACATCATGAGCATCGATCCACGCAATTTGAATACGATGACATGCATCAACCAAGTCAGTGAGCCTGACCAACCGACCCCGTTAATTCTTACGACAAGCATAGTTGCCTTTTCTAACCCCGATTTTCACGCGTCACATAGATATTGGTCATTCGCTGCCATAGCTCGTTTAGGAAGTGACGTCACCATCTCAAGGTCTCTGCACGCATCAGTGACGTCATCTAGCTGTATTCTAGTGCACGGCTAATATATATTGGATCGCACGTATGCGGGCGTGAGTATGGACACGTGGGAAGACATGCGGACATTGTATAAATTTGTTTTTATTTTTAATGTTTCCTTTTCATCAATACTTGTCTTATGCTTCTTTAAGACTTTTGTGTCTCATAGGTCATACTGGCCGGGCATTGCACACATCGACCCGAAATATCTAGTAATTGTTATGATGTACAATGCGTTACATGTAAATAAAAATCACCATCTTCCTCTTCTTCTTGGGACTGTGTCATATTTTGGCCCCGACCGATTTTATGTAACATTTTTTCATGTCTCTTCAGCCCTCTATAATAAATGATTTAATCATATTTTTCTTCAATAAATGAATGAGGATTGGTGCACAAGTCATATGGCTTATGTTACTACCACCCCAGAATAAATAAACATCCCCTGAATAATGTTTACATGTTATTTTTTTTATTTGTAAAATACAGAACTGTCAATTTTACAAGCCCCTCCCGTTCTACTTGTGATACATTTTGGCGACCCCTCTACTCCGCTGTCTTTTTCTTGTAATGACAATCCCCCTTTAACTCCTCCCCCCCCCCCCCCCCCCCCTCCTCTCTCTGTGTGTCTCGACCAGAAAACACAGCAATGTTGTGTGTGAGACTGCCAATCAACATGAGCCTACTTTCCTTTTAAACAATCGCACCTTGCCAGTGAATTTGCTTTCTGTTACAGTATTGAGTAAACGTTTATCGAATTCCAACTACCCGAAAACACCTGTTCTATATTATTTGTATATCATTGCCTATATGTATACTTGAAGCCCAGCCACAACATCTCAGAGCAATTTGTTTCGCATAGAAGCATTGATTTGTTCCGACTTAAATATTTACCTATATAGGTTTCCATAGTAACCAGGTTTTAATATATATACAACAAGACTTGTGCAATCGGGAATTGACGAGCGCAAAATAAAGATTTTAGAACTGTCGTTCGGCGACATTACCGTCTTCCTAGGGATTGGCGCTTGCGAGAACAGCCGATGACGTGTCATCCAGAGTGTAGCAACCGGCAATGCTCCATCATGTGTTGAGTTAACCCGCGAAGAAACCCGTGAAGATTCGGGGTAGAATAGGTCTTCAGCCGGCCATGCTTGTCGTAACAGGCGACTATGCTTGTCGTAAGAGGCGACTAACGGGATCGGGTGGTCAGGCTCGCTGACTTGGTTGATGCATGTCAGCGATCCCAAGTGCGTGGATCGATGCTCCTGATGCCAATCACTGGATTGTCTGGTCCAGACTCGATTATTTAAAGACCGCCGTCATATAGCTGGAATATTGCTGAGTGCGCGTTAAACAACAAACAAACAACCATATGTCGAGTTGCAGCTTTGGGATTCTGTCAACAAATAAACTGACGAATTGAGAGGGTTTCTTTCACAAAGTGCTGACTTGTCGTTTGCGGGTGGAATAAAAGTGGTTCAGGTGGAGGTTTACTTCGTGTGGGAGTTGAAATTCGTGTAGACTCGAACCGAATGTACAGACGGTCAATAAGAAAACTTTTTAAAGCTTATGTTTTGTCTGATGTCTAAGTATTGACTCGCACTTACAGTGGGGGCAGAATTAATGTTTTAAACGTCGCTATATAAGTGCAATAATCTTGGACGCGACGTTAAACCCAATTTCACCTCACCTCACCTAATGTTTTAACTCACACATGGTAACCACACAGTCCACGATTCTATCGACTCATACGACACACTGTGAATACTGGAAGACGCAGAGTTGCTTCCCTTGAGGCGGCCAGAATCTTATGGTCGTGGGTTCGATTCCTGATTAGCCACTACCATATCCATACATCACTTCGGCCTTACCCTCACTCACTCCCACTACAAGGGCAAAAACAACCGATACTATCCCAACTATATCAACATGAGGTGCGGTGGGGTAGCCTAGTGGTTTAAAGCGTTCGCTCGTCACGCCGAATGCCCGGGTTCGATTCCCCACATGGGTACAATATGTGAAGCCCATTTCTGGTGTCCCCCGCCGTGATATTGCTGGAATACTGCTAAACGTGGAGTAAAACCATACTCACAAACTCACTGCTAACATGATTTCACCATAGTAGGAAACATGCATTACTGAATTTCCTCCCACATTAAACCCGATTAAACCTAAACCCACTCACTACTGATATTACTATCCTAACAACCACTACTTGATACTATCCTACGTCTATCAAAATAATAAGAACTTATACATCTGCTGTTGCTTTTGTGACTGTTGTGCAGAGTTGCGTCCCTCAGGCGCACCAGGAAGCTATGATCGCAATCTCATTAAAATCATATCTTCGTTCTCGCTACCGCTAAACAAAGATCTGAGGACACCCTATTACGGGTCACGACAGACCGACTTTTCGCGAACTTTGACCGACCAACGGAATGAATGACAAGAAGTCGACATTAGCCAATCAGAAGGTAGCTTTCTCGTGCTTTACGGCACTAATGTCAAATTAGCGACCACGCTTCGAAACATATTTTGACAACTTCTTGACTAAAAAAAATGAAACTTGAACAAAAGAATATTCTGGAATGACTAATAGATGATGGTCTAGATTGTATGGATTTAGTCGTAAAGCCCGTCACTATCGTTCGGAATACCCCGTGTTAAAGTTTTCGAGGTTGCATGATTAGGAATCAAATTCCGACTGTCACTTTCATGCAACGCTCTGATTGGTCGGATGAAAGGTTGTGACCCGTAATGGGATGTCCTCAGATCTTTGTTTTGCGGTAGAGAACTAAGATCTGATTTTAATGAGATTGCCTATGATTATGGGTTCGAAGTCCAGATCGTAGAGTCAACAAGATGGAAAGC